CTCGATGTAGAAGCTTCAAGCTTTCCAGCATTGTGATGTTCCCTTTCCTTTCAGCTACAATTTTAATAGCTATTTTAATGGCTTAAAGAAAGATTATCAAAGGACATCTTATGCTTCACATATTTACACATACAAAGGTATATGTCTTTAAATAACTGTGGCTGTATTTCATATCTATAAAGGTAAATTTATTTGAAATAAAATATTTATTTAAAAAAAAAAAAACCAAAAACCCAAATCAGGTAGTGACTTTTATTCTGGTATCTCTGCCACTGACCATTTATCTGTCTGGAGTCAAATTGACAGCATAATGCATAAGCTGAAAAATCGTTTGCATGATTGCATCTTGTTAAGACAAGCAAACCACCTGTTCAAATAAGTAGGTCCTATTATAAACCAGATGTTTGTTCTGCCAAAAGGAAATGGAGGACCTAGAAGGTAATAAACCATTGCTCTCCAACCTTTAGTCTTTGTCTAAACATGCAAATTACAAATACCCCACACAAATACACACATCACAGCACTTCTAAAAATGGCACTGTTTTACAGTTTTGCTGTAAAGTTTGACCTCCATTAGTTTTCTCCCATTTTAGTCATTGGTGTTGTTCCAGAAGTGCACCAGAACACCAAGCTTGCAACAAAGCAACTGGGCTCTATCTCCACATGCAGCTTGTATCCTCGATGTTTGCACTATGTGTCCACACACTGCATTTTACAAAACCATATTTTAACACACATCAAACTAAAAATGCCACCTTCTGTAAAGGAAAGGTTAGAAATCAAACTGCAACAGTGCAGTTACAGTAAAGCAAGGCACATTTTAGCCATGAGAAAGTGCTTCTTCTCCGCACAAGTATGTGATAATATTAACGATCAACACTGACAATATCTTTCCATGTACTTACACGATCTTTTAATCTAAAAAAATTGAATATGCTTATAGTAAGAGCACGCCTTCATTATCTGTATTCCTACAGGCAGCCATTAAACCTACTCATTCTATTTTTATTTTCCCTACATGGCAAAGTTGGCACAGAAAACACTTACAAGATCTCCCCTTGGAAAGCTTTTGATTTTGGCCTGAGCTCATAAGACTGTTAAACACTTCTGAGAGTCCCACCATCTTCAAATCCATCAGCATGTTACAAGGAAATGATTCTCTCTTTCTCTAGAGTACATACAGCATCAGTACCTTGTACCAGTAGAAACATAAATATATCCATAAAAATACACAAACTATTCTAGACACCTTATGAAACCTATCCAGCTCCGAGAAATCATTAATAATTGAACTGCAAAAGTATCATAAATGCACGCCATTGATGTGCTTTACTATCAGACTACGGTTGCATATTATGCCCCTTCTAGCACAAATTAATTTATACTCTGAATTTTGAGAAACCTTGAAGTCAAAATACAGATTCTGATGTGTTATAAGGAAGTGCAAATAAACCTGTTTGTCGTAAGGAGAAACATATTTTAACAAAACTAAATTACATGTATGAAATCCAAAGTAAATAACCACCCAATGCTAGAAAATATCAAATTTTAGTCCCTGAACTGCCACTGACCCAATGAGACAAGATTGGTTAAATTTGTTGAGGTTTGTTTTTTTGAGGGTTGTTTTCTTGGGGGTTTTTTGCAGGTTCAGTTTGTTCTTTTTCTTGTTTTGATTTTCCCCTTCCCCTCTCCTTTCTTCTGCTATTCCAGCTTTAAAAAAGTGAAATGGCTACTAGAACACATCTACTTAATCAAGCCCCTGGAGCTCTAAGGAACACTCACAAAGCATCATATGAACCCAAAAATACTGAATTTTCCAAAAGCAAGAAGGAACTTTTGGGATGGGGAATCAACCTTCTGTCATAGGAGAGCTTTTCTCTTAGCAATTATAACTTTCCTCAGGTTCTGGTTGTCTAAGCACTACCTCTCTCCTCAAGACAAGCTCTTTACATTGTTTTCAAATTTTATAGACCATCATTTAAATTCCTTTTAATTGAACATAGCATTCATTAACATCTTTTAGAGATACAAATCAAAACATTACAACTAACAAGGCTATTGTAGGAAGAGCATTTAAGCTCAGTTTCTCAATGTGTAGTGTCAGTATGGGACAACTGCCTAACCTGGGTGCCCAGTTAAGACTGACTCCCACTACTTTCTTTTATTAGCAAGAGGCATCTAATGACGGTATCTAACGACAGTATACAAACCACATTGCCCACCCACACTAACAGTACAGGGGACTCATGTCAATTTTTGCCATGGCCGGGCAAGCCCAGTGTTGGCCTCATAAAATAACTCACAAGAGACAACTGTACAGAATATCCCTTCTTCAAGTTATATTCCCAAAGAATAATCCCAGGAGAGCTTTATTCTCTTATCCTTACAGTAAATTACTTTTCTCAACTCAGAGATTTAAGATTTCATTGCTTTTTAAGTTAGCCATGAAAGATTTAATCACAGATTTGTTAGATTTAGCCACGGAACATAGGCTTTTCCAGAACCTTCAAAGCTCCAGCAGGAGTCACAGTAGAAGTTCCAACTACAAATACTACTGAAAAACTTCTGTATTTAGCATGGATTTCCTCCCAGTAATAATTCACAGCTTGGGTTTACCAATAAAGAAATCCATCACTGTGTCCCCAACGCCATCTGGGAGATCGGGCTTTTGGCAGAGAAAAATGGAGCAGCAATTGCCTAGCAGCACAGGAAATCAATGACTTCCCCACGCAGGGTTGAGCAACAGGCTACTCTCGTTGAGCACAGAATCATTCATTTCCCTTTCTGCCAGCAAAGCTGCTTTGTACACGCCACGCACAAAGTCTCCATTACACCTGCAGCACACACCCCCCTTCCCCTAAACATTACCAGTAGGGTTGGACACATCAAGCTACACAACTGTGCATGTATATGCAAAAAGGGAAGGGGTGTGGAGACAACAGTCTATTGGGACACCTTCTAGAGACACTGGTTTCAGGCTATGGGGTACATAACAAACGTCCCAGTACACCACTGATTTAAGTTCATCTCAAAGCCCATGAGTTGACAAAGGATTCAACTGAACTATGCCAACATCAGGGCCAAAAAAACTTGGTCTTCACCTTCCCCCAGTAGTAGGATAGCACTATATACTTCCAGGAATTAGAGCTCTAAAACAGTAGTAAAAGTATTTTTCTGTTGTTTTAATCAAAAACATTAAAGGAGAGTTTGAAATATAAAAAGATATAAGTGAGCACATTATCCCGGAGACAACAGGCCACACTGACACCTTTCCAGGCTGCACTTCATAGCTAAGCCACAGGTGTATTTACATATACAATATAAAACAGATATGCATCCCTTTTTTATTGAGAGGGTTTGCAGGAACCTGAGTAGTTATTCAAGATCTTCTGTCAGTGTCATAGCAGAGACCACTACTGATCTTTGAAGCTCTAAAAACTCAACTCCTTTCACAGATTTACTAGCCTTAGTGCTCCCTGGAGCATGAGGCAAGGTAAGAAAGGATAGGAGTTGTAATTTTCCACCAACACACACCTGATCTTTGCTGCAGACAAAAAGAATTCCATATTCACATTTTGTTCCAGGTCAAATTTCCCAACAAAGTCACAGTAATGGGATCATTACAGGCATGTATGCAGTCATAGAGAACTGTACTACTGTCTGTAACTAGTGTCAGAGGTTACTGATACAAAACAGCAGACAGAAGTGACTTCTGGTCAAGCCATACTTGGCCTCAATTTGAACCAGTGCTCCAAATAAGCAGATTGTCCATTAAACAGCCCTCTCTGAGATCAGAGGGTACTGCTGTAGCTGTTTCCAGAGCTGTGCCTGCACATTAGCCCCAGTAACTGCAGACATGTTAGGACATCATCAGATCTAGCTGAGAATTTGCTTGTATCAAGCATGTTTGGCAGCATTTTGCCATAGCTACACTGTTTGCTGCATGTCTGTGAATCACTGAACCTAGAATCTGTAAAACACAACTATATTACAGAAGAAATACCACAGTCTCTAGCAGGTTCTGGCTTCTCAGGGAGACCGTTCATCTTTCTACTCACATTTTACACCTCTCTAATTTCTTCAGTTTAATCAGTTAAATCTGTAAATGCAAATATCTGCTTTATTTCTCTAGAGTCACCATTGCTCTAAATCAATTCAGGTCATGCTGAAATTAGCCTTGTCCTTCACCAGGTTAACAGCTTCTCCAGTTTTGCTATAATTAATACATGTACGTAGACAAATTGCAAATAAAGTGAAAGACAAAAAAGAAGTAGGATTACTTTTTAATATTCTTTTCATGTCCCTCAATCCCCAAGTTCAATCAGAAGCCTCTTAAGAATCTCACTGTACTGCAATTTAACATCAGCAAAAAAGAGACATTGCTAGAAAGTATTTAATAGAAGAAATAACATGTAACATACATGAGATTCTTCAATGAATGTGAGCATCACACGTAACCCTACCTGTTTTCCTGCAAAAGGGAAAAAAAGCTCACCCATTTTCTAAGCTTGACCCTTATTCATTGTCCATTCTAGATGCAATAAGATTCATCATTTAGTCACCCTGGACAGCAACAGGCCTGCATTTATCACAGTGGAATGTGTCCTCACTGTTTGTTCCTACAGCTTATGGAAAGCCAAGTACAATGACTCATAAAACTGCTGCAAGAAAAAGCTGAAACAAGTTAACAGAATGAGCTTCTTTAAAATGACATCCTTCATCCCACATTTCCGACAGGCAGAGCCAAAACCACATCACACTTTCAACTGACAAATTTAGAACTATTATTTGTCATGAATGGCAAGACCTTCACTGAGGCCAAGTAATTCATGATTCATGATATTCCTGAACTGCTCACAGGTCTTAAGTACACTATAAGCAGTAGAAGATCTGATTGTATGTTCTAGAGAAAAGGGTTTTTTCTATTAATGTACAAATCTTTTCTTTTTGGAAAATTATATTTTCTTCACGGTGACAATGGTCATCATGAAAATTCTTACCTGTTTTCCATCTAGCGTGTATAAGCGTTTAACCACCCCTGAATCCAGCTTGATGGCATCGGTTATATCAGTAAGAACCTGTTCAAATGAATGTGCTGTCTTCTTGTTGAGCAGAATTCGGACTGCCTTCCGCGGCTTCACTCCACTCCTGATGATAGTGACCAGTTTAGGTCTAATGAAATCCTTATTCTCTTTTGTATCTGGAGCACCTCCTTTAGCAGTGGCAAGAGATGGCACTGAACGAGAAGTAGAAGTTGTCTTAACATTCACTGACCAGTTTGGGTTTACATTCTTTGTGTACTCCAGTTTCTTGAAGGGTTCTATGGAACCACATACATAACTTTCTCCTGTGGAAAAAAAAGTGAAAGACCAGGAGGTCAGACTAGAGAGGAAGGGAAAAAAGAAGAAAGCAGAAAAATACAAAATCAAATCCTTCTCAAATTATTAAACACTATTCTTATCGCTCTTGATCTACAGCATATAGAGTATTGATCTCTTCCCTTCTCAGATGCTATGGACTATAAAATATATTTTTAAGATCACTCTTCAGCTAACCATTCAAGAAATGCTGTCATGAAAATCCTTGAAAGCAGCAGTTTTCTTTTCAGGAAATACCATTTGCAGTGGGGATCACTGCTGTCAGTAAACAGTGTTCATGTTTCCTCAGCTACCCAGTATCACAGTACTCCCCCAGCCTTCATGCTTGAATGGCCCACCCCTAACAAAAGAGCAGGCCCCAAACACTTCAGAGGAAATAACATGAAACATTAGGAAAAATTATAGACCCAGAAAAAGGTGGATGAAAGTGTTATGGGAGATTTGTTAACATTTGATTATTATTTAAAGCTTTAAGCAGCAGAAACTTGGGATATGTATAGGTAAGAAATATCACTATGTTATTTTACTGACTCAACATGTAATACTGGAGGAAAGGAAGGCAAAGAGTAGCAACTACACACTTCTCATCACAACAAATTTACCATACTTAAAAGAAAAATAGTGGATATTCGTTCATATTTCTACTGAAACATTGTCTACAATAAAATGTTTTCACAAATACCACACCCACACAATTTCTGGGGAACTAGGAGACAGCTAGGAAACACCAGCACATTCCAGAAAACACCTGAATCCCGTTCAGCTGAAGGCTGCTATGAAAAGGGCACCTGCTTGGGTGCTCCCAACCTTTCCCTTGAGCTTGACTGTGTGTCTGCACTGCCAGTAGCACTGGGTGAGTTGGATCAGTTGAGTGATCTGATTGAACATAACAAAGACAATACTAATTTTGCCAAAGGCTGATCCAGTTCATTCTCTGGCTGGAAAAAACAAATACAAAAACAAAAAAAAACCCACCAGCAAAAAACAAACAAACAAACAAACAAAAACTACAAAAATACTAGATTCAGCAAGACCATACCTGCTGTCAGCCTGCAGTTACACTCCATTACAAATAATGCCAAATCCTACCCTGAACAACACCACAAAGACATCTCAGATGTTTTATTTCTTCTGGGTTCAGTAGTCCAGTGTATGCTAACAGCACTATGAGATACTGGATCTAAATGTCACTGAATTATTGATATGAGTTGGAACCAACTCACTATGAGTGTGTGTGCACGTGGGGAAGGACTGGGTCTAGTCTGCAGGTGCATGGAAAGACCTGCACATAAGGCCTGCTGAGGGCACATGGCAGTTTATGGCTTAAAATCTGGAGTGTAACAAGCAGACAGGCCTTCATGTTACTAGTTTAGCCCAAGGTAATAAAATAAGACCAGAACAAAACTCAGTGATGCACTTCCTATGCCAAAAAGCACATAAGAACCAAAGATTTTCACAGAATCACAGAGTATGACAAGTTAGAAGGGACCCAGGAGGATCACTGAGTCCAACTCCTGGCCTTGCACAGGACCATCCCCCAAGAGTCACACCATGTGCCTGAGAGTATCGTCCAAACACTTCTTGAACTCAGACAGGTTTGGTGCAGTGAGCACTTCCCTGGGGAGCGTGTTCCAGTGCCCAACCACCCTCTGGGTGAAGAAGCTTTTTCTAGCATCCAACCTAAACCTCCCCTGAAACAGCTTCAGGCCATTTCCTCAGATCCTGTCACTGGTCAACACAGAGAAGAGATCAGTGCCTGCCCCTCCTCTTCCCCTCAGGAGGAAGTTGTAGACTGAAATGAGGTTTCCCCTCAGTCTCCTCTTCTTCAGCCTGAACAGACCAAGTGACCTCAGCCGCTCCTCATACAGTTTCCCCTTCATCATCTTCGTTGCCCTCCTTTGGACACTCCTTCATAGCTTAAGATCTTTCTTCTATCATGGTGCCCAAATCTGCACACAATATTCAAGGTGAGGCTGCCCCAGTGCAGAGCAGAGCAGGACAATCCCCTCCCTTGACTGGCTGGTGATGTTTTGCCTGATGCCTCTCAGGACATGGTTGGCCCTCCTGGCTGCCAGGGCCCTGCTGACTCATATTCGACTTGATCCATTGATCAAGACTCCCAAGTTCCTCTCCATGGCACTGCTTTCCAGTATCTCATTCCCCAGTCTGTATGTACATATGGGGTTGTCCCATCCCAGGTGCACGCTCCTCCCCGTGTTGAACTTCACATGGTTGGTGATCTCCCAGTCCTCTAATTTGTCAAGGTCTCTCTGCAGGGCCTCCCTGCCCTCAAGGTAGTCAACAGCTCCTCCCAGTTTTGTGTCATCTGTAAACTTGCTTAGTGTCCCTTCTGGTCCTGTGTCCAAGTCATTTATGAAGATGTTGAAAAGCACAGGGTCTAAGATGGAGCCCTGTGGAACCCCACTAGTGACAGCTCACCAGTCTGAAGTTACCCCATTCACTATTAGCCTCTTTGCTCGACCTGTGATCCAATTGCTCACCCACCACATGATGTGTTTATCCAGCTGTGGGCTGAATGATTTATCCAGAAGGATCCTGTGAGAGTCAGTATTGCAAGCTTCACTGAAATCCAAAAAGATTACATGACCTGGCTTCCGTTGATCAATTATTCCTAGTAATCCCTATCCTAATGAAAGAGGATTCACAGTTCAATTATTAAAAGTATTTAGAATTTTCTTCTGAGAATAGATTTTAATGTTTCAAGGCACCCAACCCAATCCCACAAATATTACAGCACACAACAAATAATGCAGGCAGATGCAGAGTCACAATAGTTAGAAATGGAGGCAGGGAACACTGGGACTTAAGGCTTGGATGCAAGAGAGATTCAAGTTTGTTGGCACTGTGCTCAAAAGGTGACACAATAACACATTGTATAGTGATTATCAAAAAGGCAGTAGAAAAAGTCCAAAAGAACAAAGAAACCAAAACAACATGTGAAGACGGATCACTGAGCAGAAAAAATACAGGCAATGACAGCAAGATCAAAAAGAATCATAAAATGATTTTTTGTTTTCATTTTTTTAAAAAAAAAAGGCATTATTTTAAAGCAGAACAAAATACAGAGTGGAAGACAAAGTAAGGCACTCCAGTGCTTACTGCTCATGGTGTAAATCAAGTTAGTCTTTGCTTTATAGTAAACTTTAAAATGTTAAGAAAGAATCTAAGACGGAATGTTTATAGAACCTTAGAAGAGATAAAGATAAGCCCTTCCTTTTAGCCACTGTATTTATACACAAGATAGATAGATAGATAGTAACATCAGAACAGAAAGGCTTAGCTACAGTAATAAGTGATCAAACATTGTATATTCTGTTTTATCTATGTCCCTGTCCAATAGTTCTAGTACTAGCTACTCAATTACTGCAAGGTCAGAATGTACCCATAACACCACATCCATAAAATTAGCAAGTTTTAGGAAACATTAATAGTATTCTGTAGGGGGAAAAAAAAGAAATCCTATGATTAAGACTACCCTCAAAACAATAAATACCTGCCTATAAAATACTTTGCAAAAGTGTCTTTTATGAATTTTTAAACAAAACTTGTCTCCACTTGTGCTTGTTGTAAGACATGAAAATCCACCAGAAACCTCTTATTTTATTTTTGAGGGTGTTTACATGTTCAGTCCTATAAGAGAAATTGTTTAGTTTAGTTGAATGAAGTTATTTATTTAAAAACAAGTCTTCATACTAAAACTGACTTCTCAAAGGGTAGGTGCATAAATAAATGGCCATGCACAGTGTACTCAGAAGATCTACTATAGTTTATTAAGAACTCATTTGGTTCCTCTTCTTGGAAGGGCAGCATTCCACATTACTTTTAATATCAGCTATATTTAAAGGTCAGCTGGATTCCTTGTAGCATTTAATGGCACATCAGCTCTCCATTATGAAACTAGTTTTGTGTACATGATCATAAAAAAAAGGATCAACAGAATTGAACATCAGCATTTTTGCCCTTTCTTCATTTCCAACAGTACTACATTACATCAATAAAAAATTTACACAAAGATATTATTTTCCCTTCAAGAGGCTCATATTTAGCTACAGAACATCTTGGAGGCAGAGCATCCAAGGCCTTCTAAGATGAAGGTAAGGTAAACAGAAATACAGACACTTCTCCCATAACGCTGTTACTTAAGACTGTTTCAGATGTTAGCCAGGGACTACAGTTCTCATGCATGCCATGCTGGTCCTAAGGGTCAGGCCTGTAAGAATAAAAACCTATGGTGTTTCTATGCAGGAGGAATCTCAGAGAAAAGGACAAAAGGCTGTCACCTAGATTTTTGTCCCCTCTTCTGTTTCACTAGTACCTTCAGGAGAGAAGACTGCAAAGAAGTTTCACAAGGGGCATGACTTACAAGTCCAATAAATCCATCTTCTAATTTAGTTATTGCTTCCTCATCATCAGTTTTGACTTACTGCAAGGAAGAAAGTAACAATCTCCAGACAGCAGATTCCTAACAGAACACACTGAAGAAGGATTCTTTGCAGATACTGCATCAAGCAAAAGGCAGAGAAAATACAGCCCACTTAAAGTGTCTATTTGTCTGCAGTTCCCTAAGAGAGGGGAGCAAGTCTTTCACAGTGCAGTCAGCTGTCACTAATGAAATTTTGACTCTTGATTATAGCCATTAGAAAAAGAAAAGGGGAACGTGCAGCTGTTTTAGGAGATCTGACATCTAGGGGAAAAAAGTGCTTACTAGATCTTGGAAGGTTTCCCTTTGCTGATAGCCTCTTAAAAGCAATAGTGCAAATGAAACACACAACCACTTGAACCCTCCAAAAAAGATGCACAGCACTAGAGACACGAAACACTGAAGAATAGTTCTTACAGGTCATGACAGAATGTCAAGACATGCTTCATTTATTAGATATAAAATTTTTAAAAATATTTTCTTGTACAAAGTGGTTGCTAAGGAGACATTAAATCACTGTGTGTAAGT